GGGGGAGGAGGGGGAGGGGGGAGAGGAAGAAGGTTTTTTGGTTATTTGTTATTTTGGTTAATTCTATTGGTCGAAACCGTCAGCGTTGACACATCAACAATTTTCTAGCTTACGTGGCGGCTCTGGGACGCAGGCTAACAATTTTCAAAATGGGCGCCTCGTTAGAAGAAAGCATAAAACAACTAAGCATTGATCTGAAACAAGAACAAGAACTGGCTTTAAAATCATTATTGGAAAGCAAGGACCTCCTGGCTATTTTGCCGACTGGTTTCGGTAAAAGTTGGATTTACGAAGCTTACGCATCAATCAAAAATGCTCAGGTTGTGTTGGTCGTTACTCCATTGACGAGTATCATAAAGGACCAAATAGCACATCTTAATCGTTCAGGAATACCTAGTGCAAAGCTTTCTGTTTTACAGCATGAAGATCTCAATGCCTGTAAATTTAAGATTTTATTTAGTTCAGCTGAAAAAGCACTGACGAACGAGTTTACGAGCCTGGCTGAAGGACAACTAAAGTCAAATCCATAAGCGGAAGAATATCTTGAAACCTTGAGGTTGAACTTACGAACTCTAAAAAAATCCATTTTTTTAGTGACCTTTAGACAACACTGATGGAAAAGCATAGTCGAGTTCCGTCTGTTGTCTACGCATGCTAAGAGATGCAACAGTTATATGGGTATAAATTAATATTTTGTATTTATTTATACACAGTAGGCCTTAAAGGGCCACTTGGACGAAAATCGTTCCAAATTTAAAACTCTTTCATTCGAGCTGGAACTTTGCTGAAATAATCTTGAATACATTAAGAACCACCCACTGGAATATCTTTCTAATATTCGAAAGGAAAGGGCCAAAATTTTACGATTTATTTTCGTCCGCCATTAATTTCTTTGACTCACAGAATTCGGCTCAAGAAGACTGGCACGAGTACTTATGACGTCATTTACTCAACCCAAACCAAAACATTGGTGGGTAATGTATGTGCCATGTTCGTAAAACTCGGTTTATTTGGTTTATTCAGAAAATATATAATDTTTCATTCGGTTTCCTAACTACTATATGACCAAACAATGTCTAGGCGCTGATTTTTTTTACTTTCAATAATACTGTCGATCATAATTCGAAAATTTCAATACATCTCGGCACGCCAAGAATCACAACAAAGTAGGACGCATGGACGAGATTCTAGCGGYTCCATCGCGCGAAGTGACTGAGATATTCGGGATTTATTCGAATCATTTTAAGGATAACAACTTTTCAAGGTATATTTACATACAAGGGCAAAGAGCAACCCCACAATTTGGGTCCGCGAGGCATCCGACACAATGAAAGAAAAATCTACGAGCTGAGTGACAGGCGCCGCTGTCGCGCGAATAATAAATAAGAAACCTTTGACATGTTCTTTTACAAAGATAATATTAGATAATCGTATGTTTGTACCTATTCAATGCATAATAAACATTTTGAAGCAAATAATAACCGT